GCGCATCCTCCAGCCGTGCCATGGATTTGCAGCTGGCTGCACGAAGGTCTCGCGGATGAGAGCTCATCTGGGCCACGGCGGGCTCCCTGCAGAGCCAAAAAAGCACCGGGAAGGGGATGGGAAAAGGGCTCCGCACCCCTCGGGCAGTGCCAGCCGCCGGGAAGCAGCTTGGGGGAGCGAAGCAGTGGGGAGCAGCCCCGGTGCAAAGGCAGCTGGAAATAAAAGCGGCTCCCAAGTGCGGCACGGGGCTGGCGGAGCCGCGCTGGCACCTCCCCTCCGCTTGCAGGGCTGCCTCCGTACGGAGTGCTGACAGCTCAGCAGCCAAACTCGCTCCTGCCTCTCCTCCCTGGTAAACAACCGCGGCAGAGACCGGGATCTGGCCACCCATGGGTGTCCCCTGCCACCCTCCCCGTGCACAGCAGCGGTGCCGGGAGCTGGGTGCACGCGGAGCATCCTCGACGCCCTCTGGCTCTGCGCCCACCCCGTGGCACCACCGGGATGGGAGCAACTCGAGCCCGTTGTGCCCTCGGCTCTCCAGGGCCAAAATCTGCCACCATCCCATGCCACCAGCCACGAGCAGAGGAGGAACACAAGCAGCTTTCGGTGCTTGGAGGCTCCAGAGTGGCCACAGCCCTAGTGGGACACATCACAAAACGCCGCTCGCCAAAGCCAGGCTGGCTCCGAAACGCTCTGCCGGTGCGGGGAGGGAAGCAGCAGCCGGGCACGTGTGCTATTAAAAAGGGAAAGGAGCTTTCTGCACCAAATGGAGCTTTTTCGGCTTAAGAACCCCGCAATCCTAATCTGAGCAAAGAAGATTCCCCCCTGTATCTGCCTGGCCTGCATCTGCCCCCGGCAGCGCCGCCGCAGGCACCGGATCGGCGCGTGGCACGTGCCAAAGCCCTCGGCTCCGGAAGGGAAAGGGCGGCTGCTCGGGAGGGCAGAGCGATGCCGGGCGCGGGCGTTCCTCCGTCAGCGCCGAGCCTCCATCATTTGTCATCGGCAAAAAATAATATTCCTAAAAGTGTCCCCTCTGATTGCAGGGCGGCAGGCGCAGGGCTGCGGGTTTCCATGGAGATGCCGTTGAGCGGGGATGGTACGGGGGATAGTCGCCGCCTGAATTTGGGAAATCGGACCCGGCGTCGGCAGCCGGAGCGGGGATGGCACCAGGGGTGCTGCTGGCAGAGGGACGTCCCCTCTGTCCCCTCCCTCGGGCTGCGTCCCCCAAAGCAGCAGGGGAGGAGGAGCAGCGGTGCTGGAGAGGACGAGGACTCTCCGGCGTCCCAGCGGTGCCCCCATCCCTCGCGCCCGCAGCTCTCCCCCGCCGCCCCCCGACTCGTTGCCTCGGCTCCCAAATTAGATGCCAGCCTCCTCGGGCGGGGGCCAGGGGAGGCGCTGGGGTGGCACCTCGTGTGTCCCACCTCGCCACCGCGCCGGGACGGGGAGCGATCGTGACAATCGCTCCGCTGCCGGCGCCTCGCCAGCCCGCTGCTCGCCTGCTGCTCCGCCAAAGCACTTTTAAAGACATAATCTGCAGTTAATAACCACAGTTTGTACCGAGCGCCGCTAAGCCCCGGGATCGCGCTTCGCAAACAAAGCCCGCGTTTGGGGCTGCCTGGCGGCGGCTCCTCGAGCCTCCTCGGGGCAAACAGGAGATGCAGGAGCCGGCGGCATCACCCATGGGTGCTCCGAGCACGGGGACGCGCGGTGGCGGCCACGTGGCTCTGTTTAATTCCTGGGGTTTGCTCCTGGAGGATCCCCGGCCGCATCCAGCCACCGCGTGCCCGGGTCCCTGCGTTTCCCTGCCTGGTTTTCACCTCCAGATGGGGCTTTGCCTCGTGCTGCCAGATCCTGTCACCAGCAGCCCCGTTCCCTGTCCGGCCCTGGGGTGACCACAGTCCTGCTCCCGTCCCCACCCTATAAACCGCAGGGACACAGCCCCGAGCGCACCGCGGGGTCGTGCCGCCAGCTCCAGCTCCCGCCAGGTGCCTTGGGGAGAGGCGGGTGTGAAATCACACCCCGAAATGCCTATTTTTACATTGCCTCGCCAGGTTCGCTGCTGTTTCTAGGGCAGCACTTTTGAGGCCACCTGGAGCGTTACCCACGGCCTCGGGCACCCCGGGAGCGAGCGCGGGGACGCAGGGACGCAGCAGATGGGGCCACGGGGACCCTTTGGGGCTCCATCAGCACAGGTCACCCAGCACCCAGGGCTCTTTTGCCACCCAGGCAGGTCTCGAGGAGCCACGAGCACCGCAGCAGTGCCCGGCTTCGCCCTCCCGAGCCCCCCTGGCCCCCCCCATCCTCACCGCAGGGACAGGCAGGGCCGCGTCCTGAGCTCTTCCCCCGGCCGCCCCCCGCTCCGCCGGGCACAGAGAGCTTGTGGCTTCCTCCCAGCTCTTTATGAAATTAAACTTTTATGAGCAGAAAGGTTTCTGGGCTCTCAGCTCCTCGGCGCAGCAACCGCAGCCCAGCCTGCGCCGTGCCCGGCCCCGCAGGGCGGCTGCTCCTGGGCAAAGCCTCCCTGTGCCTGGGGGGGGGGATAAAAAAAAAAAACATCTCCCTTGCCCCCCGCTCCTCACCAGGGTCTTAGGGGTGGGAGCTGCTGCAAGAAGGCACCGCACAGCCCTGCCCTGTGCCCCCCCAGCCCCTTCGCTCCCACCCAGGGGAGGTTTTTTGGCCGTGGAGCAGCAGCAGCCCAGCAGGACGGGAGCCTGAAGAGCCCCAGCCCCGGGGCTGAGACGCGGCTGTCCGTGACCTTGGTGTCATCCTTGACCTGGAAATCTCCTCCTGCATCTCCCACGGGGTGCTCCTGGCCGTTGCCACCCCTGGCAGGGTGCTGGGGCGCAGCTCCGTCCCCGCTGCCACCCCAGCTCATGCTGGTGCTGCATCCCACGCTCCCACCCCCAGACACCCGCGAGGTCCCGGTGCCAAAACTCATCCCAAAGCCCACCGGCGGTGACACCGGGTGGTGTTTTTTGCACCCTGCCATGCCCAGCACCTCCGGGATGGAGCTCACGTGGGGCAGGAAACCCAAAATATCCCCGGGTATCACAGCCCTGCCCTGGCCGTGCTCCATCAGCCCCTCTGCAAAGCACACCCGGGCAGCTCGGTGCACACCGGGGCACCCTGCTGGGCCACACCGAGGGTCCCCGAGCGTCCCCAAAACGCAGGAGGGGGCAGAGTGGAGGCACCCTATGAGCAGACACACAGATCTGCTTCTCCTGAGGATGTCACCCGCACAGGGCTCCCGCAGCCCCCAGCTGTGCCACGTCCCCAGCCCCTAAAACAAACCCCGGTCCCCAGGAGCAGGATGAGGGTGGCAGGGGCAGTGCCACCTCCTCCAACACCACAAACCAGACACCTCCGAGCCCCATCAAGGGGGTCTGGCCACAACCCCGTGCCCAAATCCCACACGTGCCCGCGCTCCCGAGCGGCTGCCATCCCCTTGTCCCCATGGTGTCCCCTTCCTTGGCGTGAACGGGGGGTCCGGGACCCCCACCCAGAGCCCACCAGCCGTGGTGGGCAGGGAAGGGAGAGCCTCTGGGCGGGATGGAGGCCTTCCTCTAACTGCCTGTTGAATTATTCAGGACTGGCATTAACTTATAAATGAGTGTGTTTGACTGATTTTGTGGTTGATGTACAGATAAATTCTAATGAAAGACAGCTACAAGATTTTAAATTATTAATTAGACTGCCACTTAACAAAGCCTATTTGGCACTCTATTTCCTTGCTTAACAAGACAAAAAACTTTAAGAATAGGGTTTGGATCAGCCCAGAGGCTCTTCATTTGCATTTTGTTTTTCTAGCTCCAGAAATGAAAGCCGTAGATCTTGACCTTAACAGGCTACCCCTGGTGGGATGAAACCTTCCAGCAGCCCCGCCGCCAGCCTGCGCAGGGCTGGGCTCCACCTCGGGCTCCTGCTCCCCGGCCCCAAAACCACGGTTGCTGTTTCGCCTCCCCCCCAGTGCTCCGAGCGGGATGCTCGGGGGGCTCAGGGGGTTTGGGGGGCTCTCCAAGCCCACCCAGTTGGGTTTAGGAGCCGAACAAAGCCGGAGCAGGAGAGGAGAGCCTTGGAGCGTGAGGCCCCGCAGCCGCAAGGTGACATTACCCCGATGGGGAAAGGGCTCCCCGGGGGGGCAACGGGGGCTGAGCCCCTCCTGGGGTCGGTGCCGTTGGGTATGGGGGGGCTGCAGGGAGCTCGCACCCCGTGCCACCGCACCGGAGCCTCGCTGGATATATGGCAGTGCCATAGGGTGGGCACGGTGCTGTGCCCCTCCAGGGTGCAGGACGGTGACCGGGGGTCCTGGGGGGGTTCCCCCATACGGCTGCGTTGCCCCCTCCCCTCCCCAACCTCCCCGGGGCTGGCCCAAGCGCGGCGGTGCCGAAGAACAGGGACCCCCCCCGACCCCCCCGGAGGGTCGGCATCTCCCCGGTTATGATGTCAAAAAGCTCCCCTATGATGTCCCAGGCGGTTGCCATGGCAATGGCGTGATGTCACGAATCTCCTCGGGGTGGGGGGGGGCACAAAAGAACGCGCCCCAACTTCCCCACCGAACCCCCCGGTGTCCCCGCCGAGCCCGGCGTCCCCCTCCCGAGGAACGGAGCCGGGCTTACACCGGACACCGACCCCCCCCCCGGGTACGCCCCCTCCTCAGCGCTCCGGTCCCTGCCGTGCGCCCCCCCCCCTTTTCCCCGGTACAGCCCGCTGTTGCCCCCGAGCCCCCCCATGCGCTCCCGGTGCCCGCCGTACCCCGGTGCCTTCGGGACCCGCCTCGCTCCCGGTGCCGGCTCCGTGCGCCCCCCCGGTTCCCCGCACTCCCTCCGGTGCCGCTCCCCGGGGACCCGGGGGTGCCGGTAGCGGCGAGTAGAATAACGGGGAGGGTAGAGGGAAGGAGGGAGAAGGGGGGGGGGGCGCCCGGCGGCGCGGCCCCAACTTCGTCGGGGAGGCAAACTTCGGGAACGGCCCCGGTGCCCCCGGTGCCCTCCCGGTGCGGCGCTCACCTTGGCGGAGCATCTTGGTGCCGGTGCGGGGCGCGGTTCTCCCGGCGCGGCGGGTAACGGCGGCGGCGGCGTTGCTCAGAGCCGCGGGCACGGCGGCGGCGGCGGCGGCGAACGGCGGCGGCGGTGGCAGCAGCGGCGGCGGCGGCAGCGGCTGCACCGGGAGCGCGGAGCCGGGGCTCGGGAGAACGGCCCCCGGGGGGGCATGGCGGGGCGAGCCGAACCCGCAGCGGCCCCGGGAACCCCGGGAGCACCGGGAGCACCGAGTCCCGGTCCCCGCCGGTCCACCGGGAATCCCCCCCCCCGGCCGCGCTTTCTGCCCGCCGCGCGTCCCGCCGCCGGTTTTTTAGGGGGGGAGCCGCCCCCTCGGGGCTGGGGCCGCCGCCGCCCCCCACCCCCTCGGACCGAGCCTATAAAGGGGAGCCCGGTGCCGGTGCCGCGGTGCCTGCAGCGGCGGAGCGGGGCTGGGCAGGGCGGGGCGGGGCAGCGACGGGGCGGGCTGGGCTGGGCTGGGCTGGGCCGGGCTGGGCTGGGCTGGGCTGGGCTGGGCGAACCCGGCCGGGGCCCCCCCTTCCTCCTTCTCCTCCTCCTCCTCCTCCTCCGCCGCCTCTCCCGCCTCCCGTGGACAGTTCGTGAAAGTGCCGCTGCTCCCGGGCCCCGCGCCGCCCCCCCGGTGCCCCCCCCCCCGAGGTCCCCATCGGGTCCCCGCTGCCCCCCTGCGCTCCCCGCCGGGTGTCACATCGTGTCCCCGCTGGCCCCAAAGCACCCGCTGGCCCCCCCCCGCCCCATCCTAACCCCCCCCCTCCAACGGGGCCCGCAGCCCCTTAGCGTCGCCCCCCCGCCCTAATAGCAGTGCCCGGTATCCTCAGTGGGGTCGCGGCCACCCCATCGGGAGCTCCGCTGTCACCACTGCCCCCCCCCCCAGGTCCCCGCTGTCCCCTCCGCCCCGTCCGTGCCGCCCCACCGGGGTCCTTCCCCTGCTCTTTGCCCCCCGGGACCCCTGCCGACCCCTCTGTCCCCCCCCACCCCATCGGGGTCCCGATACCTCACGGGGGTCCCGCTGCCCCCGCCGTGCCCCCTGGAGATCCCTGCTGTCCCTCGGGGCATCCCTCCGGCCCCATAGCAGCCCCCGTTACCCCACGGGGACCCCGCTGTCCCCGCTGCCCCTCGGGGGTCGCTGTCACCCCCCCGAGCCCCCTGCCACCGCCGGGAACCCCCGGCCCTTCTCATCCCACATCTCGCATCCCGGGGGGGGGGTCCCTAGTGCCAGTCCCCGTGGCACCCCCTCCGCGATCCCACCCCGGTCCCGGGAGCGGACACCCGGTACCCCGGGGGGGCGAGAAACCCCGGCAAAACGGCGGAACCATCGGGGCCAGCCCGGAGAAGAAGAAGAAAGAGGAGGAAGAGGAGGAAGGAGGAGGAGGAAAGGGGACGGTTCTGGGCACGGGGGGGGTCGCCGTCTCCCTTTTTTTCCTCCCGTCCCATCCCGCCCCGTCGGGGCCCGGCCGTGCGCTCTGCCGGGCTCGATGCGGCGGCCGGCGGCTGCTCTGGCCTGGCCCGCTCGGGGCTCGGCTGCCTTTGCCTGCCACCGCCTTCCTCCCCCCTCCTTTTCCTCCTCCTCCTCCTCCTCCTCCTCCTCCGCCCCCCCCCCCCGTCCATGGCGGCCCCGGGGCGCCTCCGGTGCGCGGCCACGCGGCCGGCGGCTGCGCAGGTGGGACGGGGCGGGACGGGGTCAAACGGGGTCAAACGGGGTCAAACGGGGCTGAACTGGACCAAACGGGGCTGAACTGGACGGGGGGGACCGGGGGGGGACCGGGCGCAGCCGTCCCGGTCCCGGCAGCCGCCACCGGGCTCGGCTCCGGGGCGCAGAGCCCCGAGGGCGCGCACGTGGGGTCGCTAAAATCGGGACCCCCCCCCCGGTGCTGCCGCTCTCCGGGTGTTTTTGGGGTATTTTTGGGGTGCCGGTACCCCCCCCCCCACCCCCCCTACACGCACACACACCCGGCTGTGCCGTGGGCAGTGCGGAGGGGTCGGTGGCTCACGGTGCCGGTGCCGGGTGACGCTCGCCGGGGCTGTTTGCGGTGAATAATCCCGTGCTGTCACTCCCCCGCCGCGCTCTGACTCCGTCGAGCTGCGGGGGCGGCGGCTGCTGCCGGTACCGGGGGGGTTGGGGGGGAAAAAAGGGTGAGAAGGGGGGCTCCCCGGTACGGGATGGGCTCGGTTGGGTTGCCGTCGGGTGGGCGGTACCGGGTACGGGGGAGCTTTGGGGGTGTAAAGGTGCCCCCCCCAAAAATAAAAAAAATAATTAAATGGGTGAGTTAGGCTGGAAGCTGGGCACTAACGGGAGCTTGGACACAGCCCCGGGGGTGTCCCGGTGTCCCCCCCCCCGGGACTGTGGTGCCAAGCCCCCGTTCCCTTCCCGCAGGCAGAGCGCGGCGGGCAGCGACGCAGGTCCCTGAGGAGCTGCTGGGTGACCCCGAGCTGCGGGAGGCGGCGGGGGCCCTGCCCGCCAACTACAACTTCGAGATCCCCAAAACCGTCTGGAGGATCCGGCAGGCGGGGGCCAAGAAGGGTGAGCAGGGATGGGGTGGGGTGGGATGGGATCGGATGGGTTGGGATGGACAGGTTGGGACAGGACGGATGGAATGGGATGGGTCAAGATGGAACAGGGCAGGATGGATGAAATGAGATGGGATGGGATGGATGGGATGGGTTGGAACAGGGCAGGATGGATGAGATGCGATGGGATGTAATAGGACAGGAAGGATGGGATGGGGTGGAACAGGACAAGATGGATGGGATGGGGCGGGATGGATGAGATGGGATGGATGAGATGGGTTGGGACAACAGGATGGATGGGATGGAACAGGACAGAACAGGATGGATGGGATGGGTTGGAACAAGACAGGACAGGATGGATGGGATGGGACGGGACAAGATGGATAGGATGGGATAGATGGGATGGGATAGGATGGAACAGGGTGGGATGGATGGGATGGGATAGATGGGATGGATGAGATGGTTTGGGGCAGGACAGGATGGATGGGGTGAGATGGGATGGGATGGACGGGACGGGATGGGTTAGGTTAGGATGGATGGGACCAGGTTGGGATGGGACGGGATGGAACAGAACAGGATGGATGGGATGGGATGGGACGGATGAGATGGGATGGGATGGGACGGGATGGGACAGAACAGGATGGATGGGCTGGGATAGATTGGAGAAGACGGGACAGGACAGGACACCCCCTGGGGACCCACGGTGCCGGGGCAGCCCCTCGTGCTGGTGCTTGGTGGGGCCGCCCGTGCCGTGTGCCGGGTTAATTGACCTGTATGGCCGCGCTGTAATCGCATCGGACAGGACAGGTGGAGCTGCGCAGAGCTGGCAGCTCCGCAGACGTGGCTGGGCCGCCGGCCAGCTCTGCGATGCTCTCCCCACGCCTCCCCGGCACGGCGCTGAGCCCCGGCCTCGTCCTCGCTCCCAAATCCCAGGGGGTGGCCCACGGTGGGAGGGGACACTCCGTGGTGACCCCCGAAAGGGTGCTGGGGGTCCTCCCTCACCCCGTGCCACCTTCATCCTTGCTTTTTTCAAGCACCGCGTCCTCTGGGGAGCCTCGCCAGCTGCCAAAACGCTGCTGGGTGTCACCGTGTCCCCATGTCCCTTGTGGCACGGTGGCCGTCCCCACAGCTCTGGGTATAGGGCCGGGCTTCCCGGCCTCGTTGCCACAGCTCCCGCGGCTCCCGCTGCCGCGTTTTGCTGCTTGTTGGCACCTCCTAATTAAATGTAAATATGCGGTTGGGATTTAGTCCGCGGAGCTGGGAGCGGAGCCCATCAGCCAGCCAGCCATGCTGGGATTTTCAAAAGCCGCCTGTGCTGAGCCCAACCGGGGCCGCGTTGCTGGGGGAACGCGGGGTTGGTGCCAGCCCTGCCCTGCGCGGGGCTGGGAGCCACCGTGTCACCCCCTTGTCCCCATCCCTGTCCTCACCGTGCCACTGGGAAGCCGCCCAGCTCCCCCACCGGCGAGGGCGAAGCTGTTGGAGGAGCTGGGAGCATCCTGGGGTGCAGGGAGGTGATGGGTGGGGGCCCTGTGGTGGGGTCATGCCCGGTTTTGGCACCCCAACAGCATCACCGTCCCCTGACCCTACTGATTTTGGACCTCCAGCACTGCCCCGTAAGGCTGTGCCCTCCAAAAGCTGGTGGGAGGCAGCCCTAAATGGTCCTGGGTGGGCTGGGGATACTGGGGGCACCAGCCTTGGACATGGCAGAGCCCCCCCGGAGCTTGCCCAGTGCCCCACGGGTTGGAACTGGGGTGAGATTAACCCGATTTGGGGCAGGGCTTTAAATAGCTCTGCGTTTGCCACCGGGTTTAGGCTCGGCAGCCTGGGGACCTCCATCGGCAAGGGATTTGCAGAGGCCGTTTGGGTAAAAATCACCGGGATATCAGCCGGCTCGGGGGGCGAAACGCCGAGGGGATTAATAGGGCCGGGCACCCAAGCGAGAGGCTGAGTTCCTGGCCGGCTGTGCACGAGGCAGAGGGATTGTTCGGAGAGAACAAAAACGGGAAACATCGCCCGGCTAGGAATAAACGCCTGCTACGCACAAAGCCGCCTGCGTCGCCGGCCACCCTCTCAAAACGGGGAGCGAGGCAGCGAGGGGAAGGGAGGGGTGGGGAAGGGCCGCCAGGACGATCAAAGGTTTCGAAGAGCTTTCGGTACGACGGGAGATGAAACGGAGTCAGAGCCTTTAGCTGGAAAAGAGCCGACCAAAAGGGGGGGACGTGAGAGAGGGCTGCGGAGTTGTGAGGGCTGCGGGGAGGCTGCCTAGGGGATGATTATTCCCTCTTCCTTGCAGCGGGGCCGCACGTTGGCATGATGAGGAGCGGGTTTAAAATAAACAGAAGGAAAGCGCCTTTTCCCCGCGCGGCACGTAATTAAAACCTCGAGCTCGTTACCTGCGGGAAGCCGGGCGGACCGGAGGTGTCAGCGGGTTCAAAAAGGGGCGAGAAGCGAGCTCAGGGTGGGCGCGGGGCCTCGGGGATCTGTGCCACGCCACCGCCCTTTTGCCCAATTTCTCTGGGTTTTTTGGGGAGCCCACAGGGGTGAGGTCCTGCCGGGGGCTGATCCCTGCTGGTGTTTTTTTCTTTTCCAGTGGCCCTGCAGATGCCGGAGGGGCTCCTGATGTTCGCCTGCACCATCGCAGACATCATCGAGCGGTAAGAGCCAGCTGCGCGCCCCGGGGAGGGCGCGGGGGCTCCCACCTCCGCCGCAGCCTCCCGAATCTTTGGGGACAGGGACGGCGCGGCCACGCCACCCTCCCTGCGCCCCGAGGTCCCTTCTGGCTTCACACATCCCTGCTGTGTGCCTGGGGAGCCTCGGGGTGGCCGTGACCTCTCCGGCGCGAGCACGGCAGGGTGCCCTCGGTGCCCTTTTGGTGATGTCCCCTGGCTGTGGGTGGCAGGGACCTGTCCCTGTCCCCCAGGATCTCAGCTCCATGCGGTGCTGGTGCAGAGGTGACAGCCCGGAGGCCGTGTCCCCGCAGGAGGGGACCTCCTGATTTTTTTTTTTTCCCTGGGAGGTGAGAATAAAGCAGGAGGTGAGAATAAAGGCGGTCCGAGGCGCTCGGCGTTGTGGGTTCAGGAACTGAGCAGAAATCGGTCCGAAATCTTGTCACCTGCCTTGTCCCACCCCTCACCCCACTGTGGCTGTCACAGGACACATGTCCCGGCTTTGGCTTTGTCATGGGACGTGTCCCAGCTTTGTCACCACGTCCCCCGGGGGGGGATGGAGAGCTGCCACAGCCCCACGTTACGGTGGGAGCGGGCAGGAGGCGAGCGTGGGGCGCAGGGGACGGGTGCGGGGGACGGGAGGGACGTGGGATGCGGGGGGGTGATTGCGGGGGGACCGAAGGGACGCGGGGGGGCGGGCGGCACCGCGTGGGCCTGTCCCTTTAAGCGGCGCTGCCTCCTCTCCAGCTTTGGCACCCAGCCGCTTTCATGTCTCCGACTTCAAAGGCGGCGGATTAAGGGGCTCTTTCATCTGAATGAAACCTTAAGCCCCACTTCCCGGGGTGCAGCATCCCCAACGGCCTCCTCCTCTGCTCGGGGTGCTCGGATCCTGCCCTTGCCTCTGCCCCGAGGCACCCGGGGATGTCCCAGCGCCCGGGGTCTCCGCGTTGGGGACAGCGGGTGACAGCGTGGTGCCGGAGGGTGCGGGGTCGGGGGCGAGCCCAGCCCCGTCCCCATGTCCCCACGCTCTTGGGACGGGGTTAAATTGCTGTGGGTGAGGCGGGTGGCCTCGTTAGAGCCTGCCTCCTCCTGCTGTTGCTATTCATCGCGGGCATTAATGTGGAATCACGGCCGCTGCGCCCGGTGGCCCCGCGCGCCCAGGAGCGACGTGATGGGAATCGGCGAGGCTGGGGACAACAGGCTCCGGGTGCTGCTGGCCCCAGGTGGCATCTAGCACAGCGTGGGGACAGCGGTGCCCATCCCGCAGCGCCTGCTGCCCAGCCGGAGCCGTTCCTGGATGCCGCTCCCCCGAATATTTCTCCCTGCTGCTGGAGCTGCTTTTGGCACAATGCGCAAATATTCGGGGAGGGATGAGAGCAAGGGTGTAGCCTGGCTCTGCCAGAGCACGGGTGTCTCGGGCAGGCGCCCTATGGGTCCGTCCTCTCCCTTTTGAGGAGGATGCTGGGGATAAGGGCAGGGGGCTGGGGGTTGGGGTCCCCACTCCGTGCCCACCCCACGCACCCCAGCACCGGTGCGCGTGGCTGAAGCCAGAGCGTCACTGGAAAGGCGTCAGGTGCTTGGCGTGGAGCCTTTGAAATAGAGACACTGACAGCATCGAGCGGCGTGAGGGCCCGTTAATTAGCGTTAATAGGGTTGGCGTTATCTCCGAGTGGGACTTGGGGGGGGGGGGGCAGCGGGGCGGGGGTCTCGCTGCTGCCTGTGGGCTGCCGGAGCCACATCACGACGCTCCGGCGGCGACGTCCAAATTGGCTCCGTTTCTGGCAGCTGATGCAATTCGGCGGAGGGAAGCTCGTGCCAAAAGGGGGGGGGACACACACACACGTGGGGGGCGGCAGGAGGGGGAGATGCGCGTGGGGAGAGCCTGGACAGCAGCTGGGGAGTTGGGGGCAGCCCCCAGCCCACCGTGCCGGGGAGGCGGCAGCGGTGCGCCCGTGCACCGAGGGCTTAGGATTGATGTGGGGGGGGTCTGTGGGAGCAGACCCCTTATTTCCACCACCCCCCCGCCCTGCCGGGGCTGGAGCAGGCGGATCAGCTGGGCTCTCAGCTGGGCTTTTGATTCCTTGTTAATAAAGTCGGCTGTCAGGTTCCGCAGCTGCTAATCCCTCTGTCTCCCCGCCCGGCGGCAGGGCGAGCAGCTCCTGCTAATCAGGGGCGGCGCGGGGCCGGGCGAGCGCTCTTGGCACGGTTCTGCCCCCCCCCATTCCCCCAATCCCAAACCCTAGGGCCTTATCCTGATTGGGGTGCCCGGAGCAGCCGGCAGCGCTGGCACAGCTTGAAAAGCCCCGCTGCAGCCGGCGGTGGAGATAGCGAGGACAGAGGAGCCCCTGGGTGCTGCACGTGCTGTCCCCTCCCTGGAGGGTGCCAGCACGGGGGCACCGGGTGCCCCGGCCAGGCGGCTCTGCGGCGTGGCACCGAGCAAGGTGACAAAGCTGGTGGCATCGCCAAAAAGCCCCAAAAGGAGCCTCCGGGGGTGTCAGCGCAGCGCAGGATCCTGGCCACGGCCGCCGTCTCGTTGCCCTCTCCTCTCCCTTTGTCCTTTCGGCAGGAGCCGCGGTGCGCAGGGGGGTTTAATCACCCTCATTAAGTGCACGGCGGCATCATTAGGAAGAATGAGGTTTGCACTTGAGTGGAGACGTTTAAAGCCTCGCCCAGGCGGTAGGGAGGATGGGGCAGGGGCTGCGCACGGGGCTGCCACCTCCTCGGGGCCGGGCTGTGCCAATGTCACCCCGCTGTGGTGCCTGTCCCGTGTCCCCAAGTCCCCATGGAGCTGGCACAGAGGGGTACCCGCATGGCACGGCCACGGGGAAGCTGCCACAGTGCGGACAGGCACCAACGGGGCGCAGGAAACCACGGTGGCCTTGCCACCACCCTGCTCGGGGACCTTGCTTTGTCTCATTTTGGGGTTTTCCCAGCCTCCAGGCCACCAAAACATGAAGCTGGGGTGCTCCTCGGGACGCAGGCTCCCTGGTAGGGCAGGGACCAGCCACGTCCCTATGTGGGATGGGACCGGGAGGGGGACCTGGCTGTTGGGGACCCCGGGGACACGCACACCTCGCCGGCCTGACCCACTTTGGGCGCTCGGCGGGGCCGCGTGCGCGGGCGGTTGGTAATTGCCCAGCTGCAGCGGTGCTCTTCCAGAGCCGTTTGCAGTAAAATTGCAAACTCATTATTTTAATTATGCGCAGCCTTCCCGCGCTAATGAAGTTGGGAGCCCGGTAATGTGGCTCGGTGATGGGCTTCTCCGCTAATTAAACGCTTTGTTCAGGGCCGGGGCTGCGCTCCGTGCCCCGGGACAGCGGAGAGCTGGGATGGGAGCCCGCGTCCCCATCCCCTGCAGGACACGGGCACCCATGGGTGCTGCAGCGTCCCTATAAACCCCGAAATGCCAGGACGGGGGGCTCCCAGCCTGGTCCTCTCGGTTTCTTTTCCACCCGGGGCTGCTGGAGCGTGGCTGGGCGAGATGGATGCGCCGTGGCCGGGTCCCCTCCCAGATTGATGGGCTGCGGGTCAGCGCGGCATCGCTCACAAGGTGCCAGGGGCCCCGCGCTGCCGCCGGCAGCAAACATCCTAATTTATCTGCTGGGGGGGCTGGGAACCATCAGGGGATGCTGGGGACCGCCTGCCCCGTGCTGGGGGCTGCTGGCCCTGGAGGTGGGAAAGTTTTGCTGGTAAAATGAGGCGGGATGAAGCCGAGGCTGGTGGCGGAGGGGACGGGGTCCCCACGCTTGTCCCTGGGTTGTTGTCACCTCCGTCCTGTGCTGGCTGTGGGAGAGCAGGGTCAGGGGGCCGGGTGCACTCCCATTGCCAGGAGCCGGGACCCAGCCTCGGGCACGCATCCTGCCAGTGCTGAGCGTGGCACTTTATAAATGGGATTTCGGGCGCCATCTGTTTAAAGGAGGAGATAATGAATTAGGGGAGATGAGAAAAATGCTAAGGCCGGGCTGTTTTTCAGAATGAACGGGGGTTTGCGGGACGGAAAAGATGAATAACCTCCCCTAGTCTTCAATATTCATGAGCTCCCAGCTGGAGCCAGCGGCTCGGTGCTGGCTGGGGACAGCCCCTGTCACCGCGTCCTGACGCACCACCGGGACCCCGCCAGGGGCCACGAGGGCACCCACGAGGACGCAGCCACCCGGGTCCGGGGCCGGTGGGCGAGTGGCTTGCCGGCCCCCGTGACAGGCAGGTGGCTGCTAATTGCCGTTCCCTTCCTCTGTAGTTTGATGAAAGGCTCCGGCGACACCGAACTGATTAAAACATCAAGGGGAGGCCCCCGCGCTCGCCTTTGATTCGTCTCCAGAGATCGCAGCCGCTCCGCTCCAGCCCAGCCGGCGCGGGTCACCCCGGCACGTGCTGTCCCCATGTCCCCCCCCCAGCACCCTGGGGCTCCCTGCACCCTTCCCACCTCCCCAGCATCATCCTGGGTCCGTCCCACGTCCCTATCCAAGCTCCTGGAGCAGGACATCTCCCTGCGTCGCGAGGGGCTCAGCCCCCTCCCCGAGGAGCCGCGTGCCGAGCCCAGCGCACCGGGCAGGGGCACCGGGCGCCTCCGCCAGGCTCTGCCCCCCCCCGTCCCCCGTCCCCTCCCTCCGCTGTTGCTATTTCACTTTCTCGCTCTTCACCCCCAGGGACTTTCTCTGGGGTTCGGGCCAATTTGCATACATTTTAATCTATAAAAAATTAAGCGGCGCTGGCTGCCGCTCTGAGTCAGACCTCCCCGTCCTGAATCTTAAGGAGCTGAATAATTTTCCACTTTTGCTGAGATGTGTGGAGTCTGATTCACGTACGTCTCATCACCTCTCATTAGAGAAGGGGGCTGGGGGCTCGGGGGGGGGATGGGATGGGATGGGGTGGGGTGGGGTGGGGTGGGGGAGAGCTTTCTCGATGCTTCGCCGGCAGCCCCCAGCCCCGTGGCACCGCCGTAGGGGCAGTGCAGCCGTCGTCCTCCCAGCCGTTTTGGGGAGGGATTTCGGGTGCTGACGGGCTCAGGTCCATCCTCCCGCTGTCCCCAGCCCCTGGGGTGCTGGAGGGAGTGCTGGTGGCGCCCGATTCCTGCAGGATTTGAGGGGTGACAGCGGCTCCGTCCCCTCGGTGGGGTTGCTCCGGCTGCCCTGTCCCCCTCGCCGGGGGGCTGACGAGGGGCCGGAGCTGTTAATATCCAGCACGCTGCGCCATTTCCCCACCTTCTGCCATCTGCCCAGCTCTGCCCACCATTTCTATTCTTGCCGCCGACGTAACGCTCCCTGCCTGGCGCTCGGGGAGGAGCGCGCGCGGGACCCTGGCCCCCAGCCAGCACCGACAGGGGGGTGACGCTGCGCTGGGGCCCCCACCTCTGCCGGCCCCGAGCCCCTGTTGGCACCGGGGTCGCCCTCGTAAGAAGCCACCGAGCAGGAGCAGGGGGTGCCCAGGACCAAGCTAGAGCCCGGCCGTCGGTGTAAATAAGGAATTAGCATCGGGTTTAAGCCGCCCCTCCAGGCGCGGGGCTTTGTCACTGTGATACCTGCTTTCATAATTAAACCACCGCGGCGGCTCCCCGGGCACGCGGCCAAGCTAATAATCCCCCGAAACGGTGCCATAAACTACCCACGGAGGTGGCTTCTTTAAATCACGCGAGAGCCCCCAGCTTTCTCTCTCGGCACGCGGGTGGCTGGGGCGGCGATGCCAGGCACGGGTGACGGGTGACGGTGCCAGCTCGCTCCCTGCCACCCCTCTCCAAGTGCCACCCAAGCACCAGCTGCTCCCCGAGCGCACCCGGCACCCGTCTTTTCCGAGCTGGCACCCACTGGGGATGCAGCCGGGCACGGGATGCCACCTCTGCCACCTCTCCCGTGGTGCTGGCACAGCTCGGGGTGCCGGGGTGGCTCCAAGCCCATCCTGGTGGCTCCGGTCCCCGGAGCGGTGACACTGCGCCGCGCCGGGTCTCCCCCTGCTCCTTCCCCTCTCGCCGCATTAGGAAGCTGGCAGCGTCTTATTTGACGAGCGGATAATCCGCTGAATTGCAAACAGCTTTACCCAATTGAAGAGGCGGATTACCGCTCTCCAGTTTAATCATGTTGACATCTCGGAGAGTAGCCAAGCGCTCGTCCTCATCGGAGCACGGCGAGGGGCTCCGCGGCAGCGCGGGGACCCCCGGGTGCTGCCACGTGGCACCGCGGGGACCGAGCCGGGCTGGGGACGGGGACCCTGGCACGGGGAGGGGAGGACGCGGGCCGTGCCGGTGCCATCGGGGTGCCACCCTCACCGCTGTGCCTCCCCGCAGGTTCACGGAGGCGGAGGCGGTGGTGATGGGCGACGTGACCTACGGCGCCTGCTGCGTGGACGACTACACGGCGCGGGCCCTGGGCGCTGACTTCTTGGTGCACTACGGCCACAGCTGCCTCAGTAGGTGACGTTTGGCCCCGGGGAGCGCGGGGGCTGCGCCCGCTCGTGGTCGAGGCAGTGGGGACAGTGAGGCTGTGCCACCACCGGTGGCATCGCGCCTGGGTGAAAGCGCATGGCCACGCCGAGCTGGTGCCCGGCCATGCTAAACACCAGGCTTGGAGACTCAGCCTGGGGCTCTGACCCCTCTCCAAAGGGATTTTTGTCCTCCAGCTCCTCTGCCTGCGTTGGCCAGGGCTGGGCACGCTGGGTCTGTGCCCGCAGGCAGGATTTTGGGAGCGGCACAGAGTGCGCAGCCACTTCCCTCCCGCCGTGCCGCAGCGCCCGGCTCCATCCTGCTTGGCTGCAGCGGTGCCCAAATCGCAGCCCCGTGCCCCAGGCTCAACCAGGAGCCACAAATGGGGCCGGGGCTGGGAAAGGGGCAGGGAAGGGGCCGGGGAAGGGGCCGGGGAAGGCGGCTTCGCGGGTGCAGCGCTGGCTGGAAGGGGAAGGGAGGAGGAGGAGGCTGCGTGCTCCCCAGGCGGACGGTACTCTGGATCCAGTTGCCATGGAAACTGCGCTGCTGTCCCAGATGCTGCTAACTTTGAAGTCCACCCAGGATGGAATCAGCCCAAAAATAACAATAAGACGCTCCGGGTTTTAAGGTGGATCGGCGGAATTGCCGTGCAGAGCGTCGGGCTGGGCTCCGCCGCCGCGCTGCCGGCACCTCGCGGCCCTCCGAGCGCAGGCAGGGGCAGGGGGAGGTTTTATGGGGCTGTGTAAAAGGGTTTGAAGGATGGCTCCGGGCTCCCTGTGAAATACTGACTGCCCGGTTGAGAACTGTGGCCCGAAAGCCACGTCGGTGATAAATATCAGCACTAGGTGCTTTACCACCACTGGAATGGGGAATTTAAAGGGTCCAATTTGCAGCCTGCTGGCAGGGAATTAACCACGCTGAGGGGCCCCTGTCGGGCTGCCCACAATGCTCTCGGTGCAGCCACCCCCGAGGGAGCCCCGCGGGTCTTCGTGGGGCCACGTCCCGGTGGCACGGAGCCGCCTTCCCCGTCCCCCCCCCCCGGGCCCCCGCAGGAGGGAGTAATTTGCACTTAATTGTGATCAGGTGAAGAGCACCCAAATGGGAAGTGAGCGCGGAGCTGCGGATCGATGCGGACTCTGTGTACTTTAATTATTCACTTAATCGCGGTGACACAGGCTTCTTAGCACCGGGGGTAATTAGATTTGTGCTCATTGATCCCCCCGGGCTGCCGTTATCCGGAGAGAAACGAGCTGGGTGCTCCCCCCCCAGCCCGGGGTGCCAGCGGCGCAGGGGGCTGGGGAGCCCACCCGGCCCCTCCTCACCCTCCCCTTTTCCATCTTTTCCATCTTTTCCATCATTTCCATCTTTTCCCAGTTCCCATCGACGCCACGCAGGGCCTGAAGATGCTCTACGTCTTCGTGGACATCAAGATCGACACGTCCCATTTCCTCGAGACCCTGCGCTTCAACTTCGCCCCGGGCGCCTCCCTGGCCCTCGTCAGCACCATCCAATTCGTGTCGGCCGTGCAGGTGAGCCGCCGGCCGGCTCCGAGCTGCCTCCGCAGCCCGGATCGAGTACTTTATAATAACTCTGATCAATGTTTCATGGCGGCACCCCCCTCCCCGGCTCCCCCGGGAGCTGCTCTGTAAATGTCAGGGCAGGCGGCGGAGCGCTTGGCATTTTGATGCAGTGCCGGCAGCGGCGGGGGAAGCTCCGGCAGCTCCGGCTGCCTGCTCCTCGGCTGGGCAGGGCAGCCGGAGATGAATGAGCCTCTTGAGCCACGTCTATCCAAACACGGGGCCGTTGAAGCGTTAAGCTTTTTCCCTCGGTTTCTAATTGATATGTTGGCTGAGCCCCTCCGAGCAGCTCCGCTCCGCGAGGCCGGTGCCCTCTCGGAGCTGACCGGCTCCCCTCCGCCGCTGCCGTGTGCCCAAACCTTTTGGGCTGGCACGTTGGGGTTGGGGTGCCCCGAGGGTCCCCAGAAACATGGGGACCACCAGCTTTGAGCACACTCGGTGTGAATTTGGGGTCTGTCACCCGGCTGGTCCCCTCTCGCTGACCCCATGTCTCCGCAGGCGGCCGCGCAGGAGCTGCGCCCGCAGTACCGGGTGTGCGTGCCCCAGTGCAAGCCGCTGTCCCCCGGAGAGATCCTGGGCTGCACCTCACCCCGGCTGCCACAGGACACGGATGCCATCGTGTGAGTACCCGGGGTCCCCAAGGACACCGTCACTGATGGTCCCCAAGGACCCCGCAGCACGGCACAGCTCCAGGAACCGCGCACAGCACCCCCGTCCCCAATCCCATCCCTACACCTTCCCCAAAGCCAGGGGTGCTCTCCCCAGGCTTGGTATTTTTGGGGAGAGCTTGGCCAAGGGGTGCTCGTGGGCTGGGCCGTGCCCCTCCGGCTCTCCCAGCGCTGCTCCGAGCGGCGTCTGCTCGCAGCGCGGCCGAAATAATTGAGTCGTATATCAGAATAGATAATAGATGGAAGGGCGGGCGGATAATTGGAAAAGACAAATGGCCGGGGCCCAACATCACGGCAACATTAATTTTATTTAAGGACAGCAAATTAGAGGGAGCACTTCGCTTCCTATCACCTAATTATTTTAGGTAATGGAAATGCTTAATGTACTGTGAATACCGCGCGCCGCGGAATAAATAAATACCAGGACCCCACCCTTGGGGGGAGCCCGGCTGCGGGGGGCGAGCCCCATCTCACCCAGCGGCTGCAGGGCTCCGGCTTCGCCCCGTGCGGGGACCTGGGGGCCAGGCAGGGCCTGGCTGCTGTCCCCAAAGGGGACACGAGCGGGCTGGGACACGGGGCTGGCATCGCACGGGGTCCGTCCTGCTGCGGTGGAGCTGCGCCGGGTTCCAGGTGCCGGTGGCCGGCGTACCTGCGTCCTCCCCACATTTATTATTTTCTTCTTCAGCCCGTCTCTGGGGCTAACTTTTGCAGACAAATTAGCTTTGATCTTCCAAAATGTCATTCTCCAATTAAGGGCAAAATCTAGTCAAGTTTTACGTCTGAATTCATTTTCCGAGCCCTCACTCCATTAGGGCAGCTGAATGAAAGGCTTTGAAATGTAATTGCTGACTCGAAATCCGATTAGAAATGGAAGCAGCAATGTCTGTAACCAGCCGGGGAGACGGAGCAGCACCCGGGCTCTGCTTCTGCCTCTCCGTGGGTGCCCCTTTTCGCCCCGTAAGCGGCCGTCCCTGCCCGCCCAGCACCCCCACACCCCACAGACTGGGGAATGGGTGTCCCGGTGCTGCCGTCTTGCACCTCCTGCAGCTCCCCCTCCTCTCCTGCAGGTATTTGGGTGACGGCCGCTTCCACCTGGAGTCCGTCATGATCGCCAACCCGGGGATACCTGCGTACAGGTAGGGGCACCCGTGGGGACCCCCCCAGCACCCACGGGTGGGCGAGGGGTGGGTGCTGTCCCCACCGCCCTCCCCGGAGAGGTCCCCGTGGGGCAGAGGGGGGAGCCACGCTGGGTGAGATGAACGCCAGCCATTTACTCGGGCTGAATATAAACATTTTGACAAGTACCTGTGAAAGCTCTTGGAGGCGCAGCCATTAAACTCCCCGGCTGCTGCAGGCAGAGGCCATAAAGCGTGATGATGAGGCTGCTGAAAAGCAGATGAAATATCAAGAGCGCAAGGCTGGGCCCATTTGGCGGGATCTGAATTTCTGAGCAGGTCGTTTGTTACTGACGGGAGGCGCGCGTCAGGTTTATGGCGCTGGGGAAGCTGCCGAACCCCGAGTGGGATTTTGATTAAAATTCTCCTCGTCAAACAAAGCGACAAATCAAAGATATCTTCATAATTGATGAGCCAGGTTTGGGGGAAAAAGGGAGCAGAGCCCGGACCGGGCGCTTGGGGCTACGATGGGAGCGTGGCCCCAACCCCGTTGCGCCCCATCGCTGCGCCCTAACGAACCATCCGGGCCCTGCGTGGTTTTGGGAGCTAATTAGCGCGAATTAGGAGGGGCAGCCGGGCTGCACATCAACCCGTCCAGTCGGGGCTGAGCCCAGGTGTGCTCCGCAGGTACGATCCCTACAGCAAGGTCTTCTCGCAGGAGCACTACGGCCACGAGCGCATGCGCAGCGCCCGGCAGGACGCCATCCGCGCCGCCGCCCGCGCCCGCTGCTGGGGGCTCATCCTGGGCACCCTGGGGCGCCAGGGCTCCCCCCGCATCCTGCAGGTACCCACGGGGTCCCCTCGTTGCTCCCCTAACACCCTGGGGACACACGGCATGGTCGGGCCACCTCGACCTCCCTCGCTGCCATCGATCCGCCCCGAAGCAGGGCAATTAGCGGCAGACGAGGGAGGTTGACCCAGGGCTCGTTAACCGTGCCCCTCGTCGGGGGGGGGCCGGCCGGTCGCGGAGACCCCCCTGGAGGAGCGGCTGGGCAATTAATTCCCTGCTTTGTTGTTAATTGGATGAACTCCTGAGCGGCTTCGCTTGGCCAGGCCAGGAGAGCAAAAAATCAAAATGTTGAAGCTGGGGCAAGGGGGGGGTCGGGGAGGGCAAAGTGCCCACGGGTAATGGGGTGGGGGGGGTACGGGGGGCTTCACATCCACCCGCAGCCTCCAGCCTTGCAGCAGGCGGGCGTCCCGGGGCCGGCGGCCGCTAACGAGAACAGATTGTTGTCATTGAGCGCTAATTACTTCATTAGGCTGAGGCACGCGCCGGGGAGAGCGAGAAGGAGCCGCGGCCTCGTCACACGCAGCCGGGCCCCACGGGGCAGAGCTTTGGGGCTTGCCTGGTGCTTTCCTGACGTGCTGGGGATTTGGGGTCGGACGAGGCCTTTCCTGATCCTTTAAATCTCCCCCCCTGGTGCTTTTTTTTTCCCCCCCTCCTGCAGCACCTGGAGTCTCGTCTGCGCGCCCTGGGCCGCCCCTTCGTGCGGGTGCTGCTGTCCGAGATCTTCCCCAGCAAGCTGCAGCTCTTCCCCAGCGTGGACGCGTGAGTGCTGCCGGCCTCAAGGGGTGTCCCCAGCCCGGCCGGGCCCTGTTTGTTCCCTTCAGAAAGCCCCAAAACCGCCTCAGGGAGCGTGGCACGGGGCTGAATTTAGTCCCTGGCCCTCGTTTGCTGTCCCCGAGGGCTCCTCCTGGTGCCCCCAAACCCTGCGGCATCTCTTGGCTGTGGGGCAAGAGGATGGAGGGGGGCAGCTCCCGATGTGTCCCCACCTGGGGCTTTTTTTTGGGTTATTTTCCCCAAAATGTCACGTTTTCTCCACCGTTTGCCACGCAGGTGGGTGCAGATAGCCTGTCCCCGGCTCTCCATCGACTGGGGGGAAGCCTTCAGCAAGCCGCTGCTGACTCCCTACGAGGTGAGCGACCCCCAGCCCATTTTGGGGTGGGATCAGACACCCCCCAAACACCCCCTGTCACCCCCTCACCCCCCTCCCCACCACCACGCTCAGCCCCGTGTCCCCTCGCAGGCGGCGGTGGCTCTTGGGGACGTGGAGTGGCAGCCGACGTACCCCATGGACTTCTACGCCAGCCAGTCCTTGGGGCCGTGGACGGCGAACCACGGCACCCCTGCAGCCCCCCGGCCGCAAACCCCAGGTGGGACCCCCACGGGTGGCGGTGGTGTCCCCCCCCGTGTCCCCCTATGGGACAGAGGGGACACCGTGTGCCACAGGCGCCACCCGCTAGCTCCATCCCCTCCTCACCCCATTTCTCTCCCCCAGGTGAAGCCCCCCACACCCCTCGCCCCCACGGATGGCGCTGAGGGGACGCAGGACCCCAATGGCCCCACTGATGCTTATGGGGACGTGGCAGGGGGCACAGCCCCAAAGGGACTGAACGCCAGCAGGGCTGCACCAGCTCGTGAGGAGCATCCCGGGGGCAGCCCCGTGATGGACGGGGATGGAGCCGAGCGCGGCTCTCGCCCCCCCCGGGGTGTCTCTGTGGAGCGGCCGTCGAAGACCCCCCCCCTCTATGCCCACCCTCCCGCCGCCATTTTGTCTCCGCGGCCTCCCCCCGCTAGGGGGCGCCCGCGGGCGGGAGGAAGGCGGTGGTGTGGGGGGAGGGAGCAGGGGGAGCTCAGCCAATCAGCTGGCGGCTTTTCGGCGGGAAGCACGGAGCGGCCGGAAGTTCGGCTCTCCATCTTCCGGCGGGCGGCCGGGCGCCATGTTGGAGGCGGAGCGGCCGCTGCGGCTGCTGGCGCTGCACGGCTACCGCCAGAGCGGGCGCCGCTTCCACCAGCGCACCGGGGCTCTACGCAAAGCCCTGAGGGGCCGCGCCGAGCTCGTGACCTTCGACGCCCCTCACCTGGTGCCGGGAGGCGGCGAGGAAGACGACGGTGATGGCGGCGACCCCCCCCGCGGCTGGTGGTTCTCCAGGCCCGGCGCCTTTGAGGCGGCTGAGGCGGCTGAGGAGCCCGCGGGGCTGACTGAGGCGCTGAGAGCCGTGGAGGAGGCGCTGGAGAAGCTGGGGCCTTTCGACGGGCTGCTGGGCTTCAGCCAAGGCGCGGCGCTGGCCGCTATGGTGTGCGCCTTGAGGGCCCGGGGCGACCCCCGCTTCCCCGTGGCTTTCGCCGTGCTGGTGGCCGGCTTCGTCAGCCGCTCCCCGGCCCACGGCCACTTCTACCGGGAGCCCATCGCCCTGCCCACGCTGCACGTGGTGGGAGAGGCCGACGCCGTCATCGCCGCCCCTCTCAGCATGGAGCTGGCGCGGAGCTTCGTGGAGCCCGTCGTCCTCACACACCCCGGCGGACACTTCGTCCCCGTGGGTGCGCCGCAGAAGAAAGCCTACCTGGACTTCTTGGGGCGATTCCGTGCGGGGCAGGGGGAGGCTGAGATGCCAGGGGCTGGAGCTGTGTGATGGCAGCGCCTGGGAATAAACGGGGCTGCAGCAGGGTGCACGCAGCTCGCTGTATTTCCCCGTGCTCCATAGGGGTTAGAGGGGTCCTCGCCACCTCTCCTGTGCTCATATCGCGAAAGGAGCACGGTGTCGGCTCTTCGTTACCCCCCTTTTGTCACTCTTGGCTATGGTGACGCGGAGGTTGAGGACACGAGGGGGTCTGGGTGTGTACCGGGGGGCTCTCCGGGTTGGGAACGGCCGCTCCGAAACCCAGCCTCAGCTCAGCCAAAGGAATCGAGCGGCTGCAGAGCACGCGGCCCTGGTGGCTTTATATTCCAAGCAGTTTGTGTTCTGAACGTCCCGTGCAAAAGATGTTAAAGCAGCTTTCAGGTGGGCTGGGTGTGGATAAAGCTCCTCTCTGGCAGCGCAGGGGCTGGTGAGCGTTTGCCTCGTTGGAATTAAAGTTCAGTGCTGGTTCAGCTGGTGTGAGCTGAGTGCTGTCGTGTCTTCTATGCAGAATGCCTCGAAGGAGGAAAAAAAAACCGCCATTGCTACGTTTCTGGCTTTGCTGTTTTCACACCGAAATCTGCTGTTATTGCTCTGTTTGTAGGCGTCCTGCTTGGCTCTCCTGAGCCCGTGCACACAGCAGGGCCTCGCTGCCGGCTCCTTTCCTCCATGGTGCCCCGCAACCTGCTCGGTAAAGAGAGGCAGCTGATGAAAACAGCTTCATTTGCCCTCAGGGTTGCTGTTTTGGGGCTGTTTTCCCTTTTTTTTGTGCAGAATGGTGTGGGCACGGCGGTGCTGGCTGGGGCAGGAGGGTCCTGCTCGGCTCCGTGTGCTCCTGGAGCTCCCCGGGGCTGGCTGTGGGGTGCGGATGAGGCGACAGAAGCTGTCCCAGTGCTCAGCCAGCTGCAAACAGCCCTGGGAACCGCCGCGGGGTAAAGCCAACCAAGCAGAAGCGAGCAGCTTGAGCTCGTGTGGGGTTTGCTTTCTGGTTTGCTGCCACTTCACGCACCACAGATGGCATCAGGAGACCTGAAAGGCACGGGGGGGCTCCGTGGCTGCCTCACAGAGCTCTGCAGGGGTGGCGCGAGGCTTTGGGGTGCCCCTCACCCCTCATCCACCACCTCAGGGCCTGTTTAGGGCAGGATTTCGCAGCTTTTTGCCCCGCAGGGACTGAAGGAGCGGGCAAACGGCTGCGGGAAGAGGCAGCTCTCTCCCTGCTGCCCTTTTAGCCCCTTCCTGAGCGATGGAAGCAGCGGGGCCTTCATCCCCCGGCCCTACTGTGCCCGGCCAACCCCGCCGTGAGCGGCTTTAATTATTGCAGAGCTCTCCGGGGCGGCACGGTGCGGAGGAGGAGGCGCTGCAGCGGTTGCTGCCCGCACTGCGGCCCCGCAGCCGCTCGCCCTGCGCCTCCTCCGAGGAGGCAGCGCTGCAATTTGGGGCCATTTGGGGCCGGGGAAGGACCCGAGGGTGCGCGGCGAGCGGGCAGCAAGGGGCCCGTGGCTTTCGGGCAGCTCCCACGGGGACGTTGAGGTGGGCTCGGAGGGATGGGGGAGGCTTTTTGGGGGGCTGCAGCACCGGCCCCCTGCTCCCGGGGCTTGACAAACGTCGTTTTTTCAGGTGTCCTCTGCCGGAGCTCGGAGAAAAAAATAACCCCGGGGAGAGCCGAGGTGCGTGCGGGCGCTGAGGGAGGGCAGCGGCTCCCTGCGGGGTGGGGGCCGCTTTTTCTCCACGCAGCTCAGCCCCCAGCCCCCTCCACGCGCCTTTCGTGTCCCGCTGCGGTTCCTGGGCCCTGCGGGGAAGGAAACAAACGGCGAGTTGAGCATTTTTTCCCCCAAAACCGCGTTTGGGGCGGGTGGTGACACCGCCCTGGGGCACGAGGTGGCTCTGGGGGCACCGGGGTCTCAGCAGGGGGACAATTCCCACCCTAATGTCCCTTTGAGCATCTCCCGGTGCCACCACAACACTGCCACCCCCTGAGCGAGTTCCCCACGGCTCCCCCCAAGGACCCCGTTACCCAAACGGGACGCGGGGGGGGTGGGAAGATCCCCCCCACCCCAATCCCTCCCCGCCTCACCCGCAGAAGCTTCCAGTTGTGGCTGAGTCACTGCTGCTGCAGCTCCTTCCCCGCTTGTTTTCGGTGGAAGTTTTCCATGGAAACCCACGCCGGGCCGGGAGAAACGCGGCTGAATCACAGCCGAGGGGGGGGGACAGCGGCCACCACGCTGCTTTTTGGGGGCAGCACCCCCCCTATGCACCCCCACACCCAGCCGGGAGCAGGTCACGGCACGGCCGTCAACCCTAAAGCTGTTTTTTTTTAGGGCCGTGCGCTCTCCATGGAGAAATCCCAGCCCGGCAAGGATCCCACCTGCAGCGCGGAGGCAGAAAAATCCCAAATCCTCGGCCGTGGGCTCCTTGGGGTCGGCCTTACCCCATCCAGGCCGTGCCCCCGGCCGCTGTAGAGTGGGATTTCTGTGGGGTCCACGGCGCTGTCCCGATGTAGGGACAGCTCAGGGCTGTGCTGCGGGGTGACGGCGGAGCTCTGTGGTGTTTGGGACGTGCTCTGGAAGAAAATCTGAGGCCGAGGGGTGAGGGGGGACCTCGGCCTGGGGGGTGACAGCAGCACCGGGGGACAAAAGGGACCCAGGGGACAGAGGGGACAGAGGGGCCATGGTCCCTTCCCCCTGCCCCCTCACCTGTGGTCGTGCTTTGGGTTTTGGGCCCCAAATTTTATGGGGCCATGGACGTGGCGGTGCCCCCACCCCAAGCACCCACATGGAGGGATCCCACAGTGGCCAGGGGAGGATTTTGGGGACACGGGGCACCCCGTTGCGGGCTGGGGGGGGGGGCAAACCCCCCCAAACCCCAATCAGGGTGGAAGCGCAGGGTCCCCCCCTCACCACCACCTTCCCCTTTTGGGGTTTCTTTTTTTTGGGATGCCATTGGGGAACCTCAACCTGTAGAGCCCCTGTATGGGGGGGGGGGGGGGGGCGCGTCCCCAATTTCCCCCCCGGGAACCCCCCCCCTTATTCCCAGCCCCATCGGGCCACATCGGGCCACGCTCCGCTCCCAGGGACCCCCCCACACACCTTTTAGACCCCCAAAAAACCTCCAGGACCCCCCCAAACCTCTGCCCCCCCCCTCAAGACCCCCCCCTCCATCCCCTTTCCCCCCCCGGCTCCATCTCCCGGTGCCGTCGGGGGGGACGCTGGATGGCGGGGGGGGGGATCCCCGATCTCCCCGCGGTGGCTGGACAGGTGAGGGGGGGAAAAAGGGAATTTGGGGGGTTTGGGGAAGGGGTTGGGGGGATTTTTTTTTTTTGGGGGGGGGGGTCTCCGCCGTTCCCGGTGCCCAGGAGGAGCCGCTCCGCGCCCGCCCCCCCGAACAGTAAGAGTTGATGTGCGGCGAGCTGCACCCTGCATGTGAGCTCCTACTGCCGCGGGGGGCGGGCTGTGCCCGACGGGACCCCCCCCACACAGCCCCCACGGGACCCCCGAGCCCCGGGAGGTCGGCAGGGGGGGAGTTATGGGGTCGGGGGCTGGGTTATGGGGTCGGGAGGGGGGTTTTGGGGGGGCCGCTGCTGCCGCGCTGCGAGTGCGCCGGGCCCGGCGACCATGGCTGTAGACTGTTACCCCCCCAGCAGCACAGTAACAATCTAAAGCCACGGTCGCCCGAGCGACGTCGGGGGGCGTTGTGGGGTCGGGGGGGGTCGGTTATAGGGTCGTGGGGTGGTTTATAGGGTCGTGGGAGGGGTTATAGGGTCGGGGAGGGAGGGGGATTCAGCCGGTGCCTTGGAGACGCCGACCAGGCGAGCGCGCCCGGCCCACGCCGCGGGGTGGGGAGGAAAAAAAAGTGTGGGGGGGTCCTGGGTAGCATCCTTCCCCCCCCCAAGACCCCCGCCCCAAATTCCCAGCGCCCTCCCGCCGGCCCCACGCGTGTCCGCCCCCCCCGCCGTGGGGTCGGGCCCACCCCTACCTGGGCTGCAGCGGGGGGCGTCCGCCTGTGTTTGGGGGGTTTGGGGGGGGAGCTCGGTGTCTGCGGAGGGGGGAAAGAGAAAGCGGGGGTCAAACGGGCACCGGGACACCCCCTCCCAGCCGGTGCCACCCCCCCTTAAAAAAATAATAATTAATAACAATAATAATTAACAATAAATTAACCAACCCCATCCCTCGGCGGCGCGGAGCTCCTAGGGCCGCCCCGACGGCTCAGCACTCGGGACAGCTCCCGGCTGCCCCCAACCCTAAAGAAACCCCCCCGGGGGGGTCTCTCCGTGTCTCCCCCGTGTGTCCCCCCCCCCCCCGTGCCCCGACGGTGGCGGTGCCGAGGGTCATGCTTCAGTAGCCATGACTGTAGACTGTTACTGGCCCGGCCGTACGCAGCAGTAAGCAGTCTAGAGCCAAGGTGCCGATGCGCTGACTCGGGCTTTCCTCGACGGGGGGGGGTCTCCAGGCTCCTCCGACGGCCGGGGTGAAAGCGCCCGAGCTGTTTGTGGGGGGGGGAAGCCGAACGACCCGCTGGGGGGGGGTTAAACGGGGGATAAGGCCGTGGGGAGGGGTGGGAAAAGGGGATGGGGAGTGGGGTTTGGAGGGGGCCCCGTCGGGGCGCGCTGCGGAGAGAGGGGGAGGGGGTGGGGAAAAAATGGGGGGGGCACCCGCAGCACGAGGCGGGGGGGGGAGGACACACACACACACACACACACACTGCAAAGCTGGACGGGGGTTTAATGGAGGGGGGGGGAAAGAAGCGGCCGGGTCCCCCCCCCCCCCTCCCCTCCTCCTCTCCGTGCGCCCCCCCGGGGCGGCTCCGCGCACAGCGCCCGCCCCCGCGCCCCGCCCCCGCCGCACGTGGGGCTGCGCCAGGCGGCCCCGCGCCCCCCCCCGCCAGCCGCAGAGCCCCCCCCCAGCACCGGACACCCCCCCCCAGGACCCTGACACCCCCCCTACACCCCCCTTATCCCTTTTACCCCCCCCCATCCCCACCCCACAACCCCCCGACGGGCAGGTGCAGCTCCCTGCGCCCCCCTTTTCCCTGCGCTCCCCCCCCCAAACCCCCCCCGGGCTCGGTCCCTGCTTACCTGGAGGGTGTTGGGGGGGGTTTGGGGGGGTCCATCCCTGCCTCTTCCTTACCTCACCCCCCCCCCCCTCCCTAAAAACCCCCCCCCTGGTCCCGGAGCATTCCGGCCCGGTGGCGGTGGCGGTGCTGCGCTGTCCGCAGAGCGCGGGGCTTTTATAGGGTCGGGCTCGTAGTAACGGGGATCTCGGGCTCATTCATAGAAAAGCAGCAACCTACACAATGACGTGAGCGCTACGTCAGCGAGGAAATTTAGGGAACGGGAAGACGCTACTATTTATATCGGCCCGGGGGGGGCAGAGGGGGGGGCAGGGGGCTGGGGGGGGGCGAGGAGGAGGAGGAGGAGGAGGAAGGTAGCGGCCCGCAGGTGGGTTTGGGGAGAAGGGGGGGGATTGGGTCCTATAGGGACCCCCCCC